CTTGTTCGGTTTCTAAAATTATATATATATATATGTAATTGACTACAAGACAGAGTTATTAGTATACCGAGTCAGTCTAGAGATTAAGATGCATCTGAATCAAGCCAGGGTCTTTGTAATACTTCCTATACATTAAAGAACTGGACAGTAACTAAGGATGAAGAAGAATTGATGCCCTTTAGTTGTGATACTGGAGATTATTGAACATATTACATACCATAAAGAGAAAAAATAGGCCTACCATGAAGACAGTGAAGCCAAGATGCTTCTTGGAGGCAAAAATTTTGAAGCTCTATCTCGCATACTTTGGGCATGTGGCCTGGAGTGACCAGTCCTGGAGAAGCTCATCTTGCTTGAAAGGGTGGAAAGAGAATGCAAGAGAGAAAGGCCCTGGATGAGATGGATTGACACATTAGCTGGGGCAGTGGAGGTAGGTGTATCGGAGACAGTGAGACTGACTCAGGACAGGGCACGGGTTGGAGCTCTTGTACACAGGGTCACACTATTAGTCTCAGGCCACTCAATGGCTCAGAATAATAATAACAACAACAATAACAATAATTTAAATTCTGCTGACATAGTTTGTTATTTTTTTATTCAGTTTGGTATATAAATAAGTAAGAGTGGGAGACAATATCAGTAACCTGAATTGCATGGACACAGGATACTTTCTACTGTCAAACTTCATTGTATGCTTTTGTGCAAGTATATGTGTGTGCACATAAAATCAGTAGCTATTTTTAAAACTAGTAATGGATTAACAGTTGTTTTTATGGTTATTTTTGTTCTTTATTGGATGGATAAATGGTTTCTCTATGAAAAATGCTCAACTTTTGAGAATTCTTTTTGTTGGACTTTCAAGTTATTATAAAATAATAAAAGCAATATGTTCACCTTTTTGTATCAGAACAGAAAATTGTAACACTGTAATTTTCCCTTTATGGCTCTAACATTATAAATGCCAATGGCAGAGCAACTTAAGATCTAAAATCACTAACACTTTCTTCATTAAAATAATTTTGTTACTTTTTTCCATCATAGGTATGAAATTCATTTTTACTTGGTTCTCCTTTTTTTATATTTTCTATATTATTAATAGGAAAAATAGTCTGGTTGACATTCTTTTTTAATGGCAAATAAAGGTGTTTAAAAAATTAACTGTTAATTACCAGTTTGTCATCAGTTGCCATCAAACAAAGCAAAGCATATGCACAAAATACTTGGGATCACTTGATAATAAATCATTTTAATGATGATAGTCAAATTATGAAATGAGAATAGCACTGATGTGGAAAATAACAAAGGTTTGGGCTCATCAGATCTGTCATCTGTATGTGCATGGCTTCTAAATGCTCTATTGTCATAATTTCAGTGTAGATACTTCCTCTGTATTGTCTAATATATGACATAAAAACAGATCACATGATAAGCCATATAATACTCAAAATTATTGTAAATATATTATAAAAGTTCTGCTTTCGAAATGGCTATTTCCTCTTTGAAACACATCTTAATTCAGTTGCCAAACATAAGCATTAAATAATAAAGGAAATCTTAATATAGCAGAATACCATGGTACAAATACCATTTATATAGCATATAAATATATGATATATATCTGGTTTCTTATTTAAAAAAAGTTGCACTATCAGCACAAAGGAATGCAGTTCAAATCCACTAGCTGCTGCATAGGAGAAAGATGAAAAGTCTACTCCTGTGTGATTTACTACCTCTGAAGCCCCTGCTTAAGGGTCACCTATGAATTGTTTCTGATTTGATAGTAAACAACAGCAACGTATGATGTACAGGGAGCTCTGGTGGCTTAGTGGTAAGCAGTTGTGCTGCTAACCGAAAAGCACGTGGTTCAAGTCAACCAGTTGTTCCAAAAAGGTTCTGTTTTCTGCCTTTGAAAACCCACTGGAGAGTCAGCTATGAGTCGGTTCTAACTTGATGGTAAGTAACAACAACAACATGCACACATGCACACACACACCTCAGATATGTGTGTGTGTGTGTGTGTGTGTGTGTGTGTGTGTGTGTGTGTGTGTTGGAAGTTGCATCCACTTCCTAAATGATATGCCTCTGGAAACTCTGTGAACTTTGAGAAACAACAATAATTACAGAAGGGCTTTAGGTCTTTTGTTCATAGCATCACCATGACTCATGCTCTACTTGACGGCAGTCAACTTTGTGTGTGTGTGTGTTAGAATATCTATATCCTTAGGATATCAGATGACTGTAAGTTTAGGATGTGTTGTCTCCATGAATCTGAATGTTCAGGTGTTATGATAGGGAGATCTGATTCTAAATCAAAATGATGAGTGTTCCCATTTCTTTGTTGTCCCTCTCTCTCCCTTAAGAAAACTCATTGTGTTGGAGTTGATTCCAATTCATAACAAGCCTATAGGACAAAATAAAACTTCCTCTTCAGGGAGTCCATCTCTGTAAATCTTTGTAGCTTTTGATTTGCAGTTGAGTATTTAATCACTGTACTACCAGTACTCTTTCTCTCTCACATTGGTTGGTTACATGACTCAACTACAGTCACACCAATTGGAATACATTAAAGATCTAGAATATGTGTAAGTCAGACTAATATCCTTTTATTTTACCTCTTTAGTTTGTACGCTGTTATTGTTGTTATGTGCCATCCAGTCGTGTGCAACTAATAGTGACCCTATGTACAACAGCCCTAAACCCTGCTCTATCCCTTGCAAATCTTATTGTCTCTGACACACCTATCCCCATTGCCCCAGTGACTGAATCAATCCATCTCATCTAGGGTCTTCCTCTCCTGTGCTGTCCTTCCACCCTCCCAAGCGTGATGTCACTCTCCAAGAATTGATCATGCCTTGCAGCATGTCCAAAGTATGTCAGATGAAACTCAGAATCCTTGCCTCCAAGGAGCAGCCTGGCTTCACCCTCTCCAGGACAACTTGTTTGTTCTCCTAGAAGTTCATGGTATATTCAGTACTCTTTTCCAGCACCACAGCTCAAAGGCATCAACTCTCTTTCTATCATCCCTAGTCTGATCATAGCAAGTAATTGCAAAGACCATGGCATGTATCAGGTGCGCCTTAGTCTCCAGACTGACATTATTGCTCTTCAGCACTTTAGAGAGGTTTCTCACAGCATGCTTTCCCAATGCAATTCATCTTTTCACTTCCTGGCTGCCGGTACCAAGAGTGTTGATTTTAGAGCCAAGCAAACTGAAGCTGTCAACAATCTCAATCTCTTCACCATCTATCATGTGATGCTGCGAGTTGTCCCAGTGGTGAGAATCTTTGTTTTATTGATGTTGAGCTTCAATCCATACTGAAGGCTGTAGTCCTTGACCTTCTAAAGCAAGAACTTCAGGTCATCCTCAGTTTCAGCAAGAAGAGTTGTGTCATCTGCGTAATGCAGATTGTTGATGAGTCTACCTCAAACCTGATGCCATAGTTCTCTTCATAGAGCCCAGCATCCTGGATAATCTGGTCCACAGATAGATTGAAAAGATATGGAGATAGGACGCATCCTTGACACACACCCTTCCCAATTTTCAACCATGCAGTGTTTCCTTGCCTGTTCTGATGACTGCCTCCTGGTCCTAGTATAGGTTTCACATAAGCACAATCAAGTGTTCTGGGATTCCCATTCTTCTCAAAATCAGCCACAATTTGTTGTGATCCACACAGTCAAATGCTTTTGCATAGTCAATGAAACACAGATAGACATACCTCCGGTTCTCTCTGCTTTCAGCCAAAATCCATCTGACATTAGCTATAATATCACTAGTGCCATGGCCTCTTCTCTGAGAAACTGGATTATATGAAGAAGAATCTTGTATAAAGATTGGAGAAAGACTCATAAAAAAACTATATTATGAAGATGACACAACCTTGCTTATAGAAAGCAAAGAAGACTTGAAGCACTTAGTATGGATTACACCCAACATTAAAAAAAATATTCACAACTGGACCATTTATTGTCTTCATGAAAAGTGGGGAAAATATTGTTGGTGTCATAAATTCCATTTTACTTGGATTCACAATCAAAACCCTGGAAGCAGCAAACAGAAAGACATTGCATTAGGCAAATCTGTTTCCAAGGACGTCTTTAAAATGATGTCAGGTTAAAGA